GGTTAGATGATCTACCCTACGACTTGCTCGGATCAAGGGGTATAAGGGGATCCGGGGAGGATGCGATTCGGGGAGATGCGATTCGGGGAGATGCGACTCGGGGGAAAACGAATCGGGCAGGGGCAGTTGAAGGGGGCAAATAGTTGAATGTAGCCTCGCCGATGGTGAAGAGTTATGACTGATGACGGTTCCCATACCTCAAGCATTAGGCGCTTGAGATCGATGAGGGACAGAGAAGTTTTAGCGTAGAACTACGCTATAGCCCCCAGTAATGAGGACCAACCCCGATGGGGAGTCTTGAGGAGGCGAGGCTCGACGATTTGCGAATCTCGGATATCACATGCGTATGTCCAGGTCGTCTGCCATGGACTGACGCACTCTCCCCATGTGAGTCATCCATTGAACAAGCTCCTCGAGATGATATCTCAAATCGGAGCGTCCGATAATGAAAATTGTGAGGGTATGGAAAATCTTCGTTTTGATTTGGCTTCCACATCCGCTCCAGAAGAATTCTGGATCTTCTCCTACTCGCTCTGAGTACTGCACACTGATTGCTCTGAGAGCTTCTTTCACAAACCACAAACAGATCTTTGATTGTTTCCATTTTCGATTGCCGAGATCATCGCGAGCTTCTCGCTCAACTTCATGACGCGACGACGCTTTTTTTCTCCTAGTTTTTCGAATTTCTGCTGCAACGCCGAGTTTCACCGCGATTCGATTGTTCCATTCCGATGTTGACGTCCGATTTTGAGCGTTCAAGTCCGATGTCTCTCAAATCCCGACGCCACTGCGCGATTGATATGTTGCGGCAAAGCGTCTTGTGAGTCTTTTGTATAAGCCGGCCAAGCCTAGGAATCTCCTGACTAGACTTGGGCCTCGGGTACTCATCAACCTTCTGTTCGCCGAAGGGATCCGAAAATATGCGGGGGCCAAGTCCATCGTGGTATATGTTCTGTTTCCCTCCGACTGGATCGAGGATGGCGGCTTACCGGAAAGGGAAAGTTCTTTCGAACTCATTGAGCATTCAAACGACGGTAATCGATTACCATGCGTCATGAACTATCAATCTCCCTAAGTAGCATAGCCGGGCTCGCGTACGGAGACTTCGATTGTTGCCCGCGGCTCATCGTCCCGCAGACTCTCAGCGGCATTCGCTCCGCGCTATAACATAGTTCACAGCCCGCGCACCCGTTGATATGAGCGCGCGGGGGACCGCTTCCTGCTGTATGACTCTGTCGAAGGCGACAGAGATAGGATCATAATATACGCGACCGACAGTTACTAGGACCTCCTTAGATCAAGTCAAGAGCGGTTCCTGGATGGAACGTTTAGAGTTGGTCCCCCGATCTTCTACCAGATGTACAGTATCTTCGTCAACTCACTCGACTCCGGACCGACAGTTCCCGTAGTTTACGCCCTGCTCCCTGCGAAGAAATGTGAAACCTACAGAAGGTTCCTGAGTGTAGTCTTCGGTCTCCTCGACGATTTCCTGTCTGATGTTTGCACGTGGACTTCGAGATAGGAATAATACGCGAGCTCGAAACCTCTTTCCCCCTAGCTGCGATACAAGGTTGTAACTCTTATTTTGATCAAAGTCTGTGACGTCGGATTCACGCCGATAGTTCTCTCCGTCAAATATATCGGAGGAACCCCGGATTCGCACTTGACGTCCGAATGTTCGCCGCCCTCGCGTTTGTCCCGATGATGTTTGACGATGTTTGCTCCACTTTCGAGATATTGTTGAACTCGACCTTTGTCTGAGAGAACAATTATATACTAACGGATTTTTTGTTGCGGCTATTAATGCGCAGCACTCTGTGTAAGACTGCCGAATTCCGCAGAGGGCCCCGATCACACGGTGTTGAGAAACCTTCTGAGGAACCGCTCAAAACGCAAACACAACCTGCCGAACTCCAGAAGTAAGTCTATGTTCCAAGCTCATACACTGGAATACTATTCCCGTCATTTATTTTTATGTCGTCTCCCGAGTCCGCCGGAAAGAAGCAAACCCCTCACATCGACTCTGATTCCATAGTTGCGCAGGCATTATGTCTTCCATCGATGCGTACTACCAGGGTGAATATCCCGTCCCACCACCTCCTGCCCAAAATATGATCTCGAACCATCGGAAGCTCCTCAAGACCTCAAGGCACCGACGCCGAAGTTTCGCAAGTCCCGGGAGACCGAAAGTCTTCCGAATCATGCTCAATTTGATGAGCGAGAAGAGAATTCATCGCGGGAAAGCCGACTTGA